ATTGCTCAGGTTGGGAAAGACCTTAAAGATGGAGTCCAACCATGACATGACCATAATAGCCTAACAACCCCCTGCTAAATCATGTCCCTGAGCACCACATCCAAACGGTTTTTAAGCACATCCAGGGATGGTGACTCAGCCACCTCCCTGGGCAGCCCATTGCAGTGCTTAACAACCCTTTCTCTAAAGAAGTTTCTCCTGATATCCAACCTAAACTTACCCTGGCGCAACTTGAGGCCATTCCCCCTCGTTCTGTCACTAGTGAGAAGAGACCAACCCCGCTCTGCTGTTGTCACCTTTCAGGTATTGGAAGAGAGCAATAAGGTCTGCCCTCAGCCTCCTTCTCCCCAGACCAAACAGCCCCAGTTCCTTCAGTCTCTCCTCGGAGGCCATATCCTCCAAGCCCTTCCCCAGCCTTGTTGCCCTGCTTTGGACCTGCTGCAGCACCTCCGTGTCCTTTCTGTGCTGAGGTGCCCAAATCTGAACACAGCACTCGAGGTGAGGCCTCAGCAGTGCTGAGTACAGGGCAGGATGACTTCCCCAGTCCTGCTCACCACAGCATTCCTGATCCAAGCCAGGATGCCATTGGCCTTCTTGGCCACCTGGGCACACTGCTGGCTCATATTCAGCCCACTGTCCATCAGCACACCAAGGTCCCTTTCCACCAGGCAGCTTCCAGCCACTCCCACCCAAGCCTGTAGGGTAAAGATACTGCAGGGTAACATACTGCTTTCTTTCCATTCACACGTGTCCTAACATCCAAGGAAAGTTTACATATAATTTCATTTTTAGCTATTGTAAACTAATGATCTGGGTATCTGACCCAAATCCTTGCAGCTGGAAGGCTAGCCTTTTGTGCATGCAAGGTTCAGGGTGGTATGCCAGCAGTGTAGAGAGAGGCCTTCGCTTGCATGTCTGAAGCAAACCTGTATTAACCCACTTAATTAAAACGGAATGTTTTTATATGATTTGCAGTCTTTATGTTAAGCTTTGATGCGTAGGCGAAGTTGAAGACATCAGCTTTGAAGATTGCTATCTGGTTGCTTAGGTGTTAGTATTCCACCAGTTTTTCCCATTGCTTCATTTTATACACTGCAGATATTGTCATGCCTGGCTTTGCCAAAGTCTTATTCTTCTTATTCTTCTTATTCTTCTTATTCTTCTTATTCTTC